GGCACTGTGTGTGTGTGTATGTATAAGACAGAATCTTAGAGTTCCTTGTGTTCCTAAGCTTTCGGAAGCAAATTAATAGGCAGGCCAACACACAGAGTTTATTCTTGATATTAAGTTTTAGAACTAATCTTGATTACATTGATTATACACTGGACAAGGACTCTATTTCAATTCTGCATTTCTTTTTTTTTGAGACAGAGCCTCGTCTTTCTCCCTTGATATATTACCTCTGTTACCATCCTATCAGTGTTTTCTTATATTGTTACAAATAAAAATATACTGGATATCTTCATGAAAAACAAAAGAGCTCAGTAAGTATTTGCTAAATGAATGAATATTTAAATGATGTTACGAAGCTGAATAAGGTTAGTGGGAAAATGGCTATATCAAGAGAGGCTTGTAAGGGGGATTTATATCACCTAGAATCAGTTCTCAAAAGTTAAGAGTGTCACAAAAAAAAGAGAGAGAGTTAAGAGTGCCATATCACTATCCTCAAGAAATCTCCCTTCCCTTTACCTCCTCTTCCTCATTTTCCTTCTAAAGTCTGATGAGCAGATACTTTTAAAAAGCATTCTATCTCAAGCTTAATATCCTAAACTCAACATGACCTAAATGTAACTAATTCTAATCCCCCATTTCCCCAATGAAAACATGCTTTGCATACTTCTTTGCCCCTCTTGCCTACATTTAACTTTTTAGCCTGTCCCATGCAGAGTTCTACCTCCAAAACATATACAGAATGTATCCACTTCTCTCCATCCCTACTCCATTGCCCTTGCCCAAAGCACTTTTGTCTCACATGAATTACTCTTAACACAACCTAGCTAGTTCCCTCTGTCATCCTTGTCCTAGGAACCAAAGTAGTTTTCTTAAAACTTCTAAGCAGATTCTGCCACTCTTCTTAACATTCCACAGTTTCCCACTGTACCTAGAGTAAAAACCAAACTCCTTACCCTGATCTACAAAACCCTATTCATCTGGACTAACCCCTGCCCTATCCCATCCCACTCCTTACCCTCACCTGCTCCAGCCACATTGTCCTTTCTTATCTTCTAAGATGATAAACTCCTTCCTAAATTTGTTCCAGCCTGGCATTCCCTTGAATATTCTTCCAAAGATGACTTGGCTGCTTTTTTTCTCCCATTTAATTCTCAAAGTCACCTCCCACCTGCTAATGGGCCTTTCCAAATCTCCATAGTTAAGACAGCACCCCTTCCCACTAAAGTTTACCATATAACTTTGTTTTCCTTTCTCAATAGCACTCATATCTTAAAATTATGTTTCATTACTCTATGAGAACAGGATCTTATTTATCTTATCACTGTATCTTCTTTTTTTGTTTTTTTTT